ATCGTTGCCACCTGAGTTCCTCAGCCAGCCCCCTCGCCCGGCGTCCACCAGAGCTGTAATTGCAGCAGAGCGAGCGAGTCTGGAGCACTGCAGGACCTGAGCCCCGGAACACGGTCGTGAAAGCCGGGCCATGCTATGAGCAAACATGGGGCCCTGTCACAAAGCAGGCGCTCGCTTACAAGTCCACTGTCTAGACACAGGCACTGCTCCGTGGCCCTGGTACTCAGTACTGGCCACACACTCCAGACACTTAGCGCAAGTACATCCCCAGCCAGAGTCTCCCGTCATGGCCGCCCCCCCGGCCTGGGCGATGGCTCAGGAGCTGGGCGGCAGAGCAGTGACTGGGGATGTTTGTTTGGCCCAGCAGGTACAAGGTGCAGGGAGATGCAACCTGTTTATATCAATGTGTACAAGGAGACGTCTCTGGGGGGAGGGGAGGGCAACTTTCTCCAGCCTCTGGGGCAGCAGACGCTCCTGGGGCTGACTGAGTGGCCTGTTCTCGTGGACCTGTAACCACAGAGCCAGGGAGCGAAGACGGCGCTTCATCGACGATGAACCGGGCCGAGGCCCTGAGCCAAGCCAGTGACCCTTCTTTGTGTGCCGCGGAGGTCTGCTCAGCCCAGCGGAGATGATGGAGGCAGGCATGAGAGTCACCACAGGTGCTGGGAGGCCCATAACTTACCCGCAGAGTGACCGACCCGGTCCAGCCGGAGGTGTCCAGCGCGAAGGAGGCTCTGCCAGCCTCGTCCGTCAGGAAGGTCTGGTTCTGCCTCACACCTCCATAGGCAACAAACAGCTGCAGCGGCTCATTTCTCAGCGCCGAGCCATCCGCCGCCTTCAGGAGCATCTGAGCGGAGAGAGGAGGAGACGCACGGCTTGAAGGGGAGCATTACGCGGGTGGGAGCAGACAGGGGAAAGCCAGGGAGGATCAGTCTATTGTCCAGACTAGACAACACTTTGGAATACTCCCTTGAGCCATCTGTGTACCCATAAACACATCCAGTGTCCCCTGGAACCAGTGTTGTCTCCAGTCCATGGAGTGGTATTAGCCAGGGGGTAGAAATGGTGTCCCTGGCCTCTGTTTGTGGAAGGCTGGAGAGGGATGGTACGAGACAAATGGCTTGGTCATTGTCTTCAGTCCATCCCCTCCAGGGTCCCTAGTGTTGGCCGCTGTCAGCAGACAGGCTACTGGGCTAGATGGACCTTTGGTCTGACCCAGTACGGCCGTTCTTATGTTTTTATGTTCTAAGCTCAGGGTCGGGGGTCTCAGTGGACCCCCTTGATTTTAATGCAAACCTGCGCCTGGGTGGCCAGGCTGGCAGCTATCCTGCCCTAGACGGCCACTTTCCTGTGCCTAGTGCGGAGATCATGGACATTGGAGGCTTCCCCCCAAACCTCGATGAGGTCCACGATCTCTGCACTAGACCAGGCGGGCGGCCGCCCCTTTC